GCATAGATAGGCGATTTGTCCCTAGCCAGCGAGAGTAGATGTTAGGGCAATTCGTGAACCAATTGAACCTGACCTTAATGCTTGTCATCAGTGTCTAATCCAAACGATAGTTTAGGTATTAGGATTGTTTGATAAATTGATAGACACCACGACAGTGGGTTTATTTAACCTTGTTGTTCAAGTTCTAGATTGGCTCTTAATGCTTTCCTGAATAGTTGTGTGGTTCGTGATCCTAAGTATCCCAATGAATCATCCTAAACCTAGCTCTTTTATAATCTGAACCAAACCAACTTTTTAATTGCTTGTTTTATTTTCTTAATTTAGACCCCCATATTGTTTTAGCTTAATATTGATCCTATAAAAATAAAGTGTAATATTTGGTCTCTGTGGATTCGATCCTCAAGTACTACATTGAACCTCTTATTTGAGAGAGTAGCTTGAAGGTTAATTTGAGCATATCATATAATATCATTATGAGGTCTCAGCGGTCAACGTATCTCCAAACCAAGTCACAGGTCTCAACCTTACTTGCTTACATCCTCCCACTTGCATTAACCCGGCATCCTCATCCACCAAGGTAACTGTTTGAAGCTCCGTCTATAATGTGTTCATCCCTGCGATTAACAGCAGCATCACTGCAATGAAATCTCAAACAGTGATAACACCCCTTTCTCTTGCTATATGCTTCCAAGCGCGGCCATTGTTGTATTGATAGTTGATGTAAAGATAGTTGTACTTATCATTCGTCCCTTCTATTTTCAGTTGTTATAACCGCAACTTATTAACTTCACACTATGATGAAAGGAAGAGATCTGTGAGATTAAGAAGAGAGAATGTGTAGTAGATAAAGATGTCCCCAATCTCTGCGTAATGGGTAATACACTCAAACTCTGTTTTTATGTATCACGCTTTTCAGCTCACTTTGTTTTAATTTGTGTCCCTGTGTTTTTTTTTATTTTCAAACTGGTACTGAAAAAATGATTTTCGATATTGATTTGTTTTAAAGCCTTTTTAGGGTGAATGATTGTATGTTGCTATAGATGTTTAACTAACATTTTGATATTAATGTTCCTAGATACTGAGAATGGTTAGATAAAGATTAGAATTAAACTATGTTTGTAGTGAAGGTATAAGGAAAATAGATGGGATCTAAAACGGCTTCTTGGTTCTGGAGAAATGCCTTCTTCACATTCAGCAATTGTTACCGCTCTAGCTATGGCCGTTGGTTTACAAGAAGGCTTTGGAGGATCTCATTTTGCTATAGCTTTGATCCTCAAATCCATTGTACGTTTTGTTCACTCAATCACCTTGCTTATCACTTTTTTTATGGTTGAGTCGCCAGGGCATGGTTAAATAGTAAGGCATTTTGTGTTATTGTGTGGAAGGTGATGTATGATGCAACTGGTGTAAGATTACATGCTGGACTCCAAGCTGAGATCTTGATTTTTTATTGTTTTATTTTGTTGTCACAAGCTTTGTTTTCTTTTACTGATTTTTGGGCTCTGTTTCATTTTTTCAGGTTCTCGATCAGATTGTGTATGAACTTCCTGAAGAGCATCCCCTCGCTGAAAGTTTACCGTTGCGTGAACTTCTCGGTCATACTCCTCCGCAGGTAAGATCAGACCAATAGAGACTAAAAAATGGCTTTCATGAATTGTGGTCAGTACCTGAAGCATATATTTTTTTGTGATTTCATCAGGTCGTTGCGGGTGGAGTGCTTGGGACTGTCACAGCACTTTTTGGATACTTAATCACATTGATGCGTAGCTGAAAAACAGAAATGGCAAGCAAATGAACTCCTTACGGAAGCTGGATTATTTTTTGTGGTTTGCTGGTCAGGTCTTTGTCGTTGACAACATAGTATAGGTTTTTTTAAGGAAAACATGTAAAAATGTCTTTAATTACAACGAACATGATCTGTTTTTCCAGCAGGGTCTCAATACTTTGAAAAACAGCCTTATATCTGTCTCGTAAATTGCCTATTTGCATTCAATGAAAAGCGACGCCGGCAATAGAGAATCCTACCTTGAAATGAATTCTTACAAGATGATTAATAGTAAAACAGCTGATGGAGTTCATAGACCAAAGTAATAATCATATCTTTTTTTCAGTTTCACTATGTTTATTACTAAGCTCATAGTTTGTAAATTTTGATTGGTTTCAGGGAAGAGGTAAACAGTTACAGTGCAGAAGAGCTTATGATCATGAAGACTCAAGGTATTGGATATGTGTTTCAGAGATGGCAGAGTGAAAAGAGCGTATGTTGTATCTTTCTCTCATCTAACAGTATGTTATAGCTTTCTCTTTTTACAATCATTTTTATCCATTTTTTAATATCTTTTTTGTAGAAAAGCTTACTGCATCACTGCAATTTACCGAGGAGCAGCCTAGCCGTAGACATGTGTACTTTGCAGAATACAGGTTACTCCTCCTTACACTTTAGTTTTTTCTTTACTTTGGTGTAGCTTAGAAGTCAGATCATCTCCTGGACTATTCTGTTATGCTTAGTAGTTTGTTGTGAGAAGAAGTTAGTACCACATTGTATGTATGTTGCTGTCTTATGATGTTGTAACTCTGTTTTTTTTTCTTAACAGAGAGGAAGCTAGGGAACTTGAGTTACAAGCAAAAAGCAAAACTGATATCTCCAAGATGCAGATTCCTAAATATATTAAAAAGTATGTCTCTGAACATGTGCATTAGATGTTTTTATGAAGGTATCAACGCACAAGCAATACTCATAACATATTCTATCTCTTATAAACCAGGATAATGGATAGATCATACAGAGATCTTGAGGCAAGGAAGAGCAGGGCAAAAGATTTGGAGAAGTTATATATGGATATGTCAATGCAGAAGGAATTACATGTAAACTTATATCATTCAGTTTCAAAGGCATATGAATGTTTTCTTGGAAAATTTTTTAACATCTCTGATGAGGTTTGTTTTAATGCATATAGAAAAAGGGTCGGAAACGTAAGCTACGTGAAGATGAGATACTCAACCCAAATGGTAAACCAGTATACATATGGAAGGCAGATCAAAAACGCTGAAGTTAAAAAGCTTTCATGGTTGTGTGTAGCTTCACATCATGTTTCTTTGATCTCTACTAAAGTTTATTAATTTGTGTATGCATCAAAGTTTTGTCAGTCATATACTTATGCCTTGATTGGTAGAGGTTGTAGTTTTGATTTTGTTTTGTTTAAAAATTTAATGTATGTTTTGTGGATGTAACTTTAGATTATATTGCTATAGATGATTTTATTTAAAGTTAAAAGCATCAAACATAAGCCTGTAGAAAAATGATTTCTAGAGCCAATATATTTCTTTCTATGATTTTGTGTTGTAACTTTAGATTTTCTTAGTAAAGTTTGTTTTTATTTTATTGCTTTAGAGAGAATTAAAGTTGAGTATATCACTCATTGTCATTATCAATCACCCCATTAAGTATTCACATTCAAATGATTTGGCTTTCAATCTTACATGTTAAATTTGATTTCCCTAAAATTTGATTTTTTAAAATTATTATAAATGAACTGTTTTAATGATTAATATGCTAAGTTACATGGCATGTTAGAAACATGTCTAAGAAATGCAAATTTTACCATTTTGGTTATTCATGATTATTGATCATGTCAATTATTATTCATATCTCAATAAGAAAATATTAGTCAAAATTAATAAAAATTCATTTTATATCATTAAACAAATAATATTCAAACTATTTGTTGAAGCAGCCATTGGGTGATTATTTTTTTTCCCGGCAGCATAATATGTACTTTAACCCTTATTCATGTTCACTTACAATGATATTGGAATAAATATATGTCCCTAAAATCAATCATTTAACTTACATAAAAGATCACACAAACATCTTTTAATGTTAACAATCCAAAATTAACAGACCTTTCAAAATTCAATAGACCTATGATATCAAGATATAATGATCAAATTTTACGTCTTCTGTTTGCCTAAAAGTTGTTTCAGATTACTAAAAACAAAACTATATTTAACATAGAAAAAGTTACATAAAAAGTTTTGTGCTCTTCAGGTTTATCTTCGTTACACAAGTTCTCATATCTTGTGCTACTATGATAAATAATATGACCATAAAAAGTTGAAATGACCAAGAACGGAGGTGGGTAGTGACAAATTCAGAGAATCAAACCTCAAAAATTTCTTTTAATTGAAAAGGATTTAGTGTTTTCAAATATTTTATATTACGGTTAAATCTCATAAGTTAAGTATAGTTTTTTCATCTGTTTTTGATAAGAGCATCAATACCTGGACAAAAGTAAGAAAAGACACATTAGGTAATCAAGCAAAATATGAAAGAGTCGCGAAATATCTTATTGATTAAACCACTGGAGAGAATTAAAATTCATGATGATTGTTTTTGTTGTCTATTATTTAAACTTAAACAACTTAATATAAACTAAAGTTGATTAAAGGTTATTGTGATAGTAAATTTAAAATATAAATAATATACTATCAAATATACATTTGAAAAAGATAATGAGATTCATGCATATACAAAAAAATCATATATTTATTGTGAGTATTTGTTAAATACAAATCAAAATTAAAATTATGAGATATTTAAATGTAATACTAAAAATAATAACAATACTATACTACATTTTTAATTTTGCCGCACAATCCATATAATATTTAAAAGATGCAATTTATATTTTATAAACGATACCAGTGATGACAAAAAAAAATCATACCAATATATTTGTAACACAATTTATACGAGTCAGAAAATAAATAAATAGATATATCAATAAAAGCTAGCATAAAATATATTATTTCTGAAAATAAGTTAATAGTCAAAAACCAGAGCGTAGCTCGGGAAAATCTCTAGTAACTATATATAGCGGTGATTCTGTTTTATGATTTCAATAATATATATATATATATATATATATATATATATATATGATAATATAATCTGATGATATGATCACCATTATATATTCCACTAAATTTGTTTGTTAATTTAATTTTATATTAGGTGTTTTTCCTGCATGTACTGGCATAATTATTTTACAAATATTTTTAAATAGATATATTATCAGTTTAAATACCAGTTGAATAAGGTATTGTTCATATGTTCAAAATCTTTAATAATAATTTTTTTTTTTATATACATAGTTTTTAACATAAAAGAAATATTTTTTACTACATAAAATAAACTTGAAAACACTCTTGGGTTTGAGTTATTTAGTAATAAATTGATATCAAATTCTTTGCATATGAAAATGTTATTTCATAAAATTATTTTTTCTTGTGTAAAATAAATTTGAAAACATTCATATAAACATAAAATTATAAACAACATTTCTAGGATTCATATTTCTTTTTAAAATTTAATACAATTCTGAAGTAAATTATTTCATAACTATCAAATTAGTGAAATTCATTTTTAATCTGGTAAATTATATATTAAAAATCTAATTATTCACTAAGGATACTACATAATTTAGATGCTTTAAACTTTAATGTGAGAGTTTAAATGATAAAAATTACTTCAGATATAATTGTATCGATAGATACATATAATATAACGTTTGTATCTTGGAGTGATTTGCATTGAAACTTCGTATGATTTGTATGTCAGGCGCAGCTACTTTTATTTTTATAAGTATGTATATTTTTTTATATGAGAAAATAATTTAACATATTATTTATTATCTGCTGTTTAATATTGTGTAAATTTATAACACTTTGATTTATATTTTGTTCTACATAGTTCTTGTACAGTGGTTTATGTTTCTTAGGTATTTTACTTTATCAACAGATATCAATGAATATAAATATATTCTTTCATATTTGGTACATGAACTTTATGATTTAAAATGATTTAAGTAGACAAACATCCTTCAAGGTTATTTAATTTTATATAGTTTTAATATTATAGTTACAACATTTATATCGATATTATGTAAATTGAATAATTTGTTTTTTTAAATATTAATTTTTATTAACATTATTTAACATATTATTATTAAATTCATTAATAAGTGTATGTTTAAAGTTTATTTTTATTTTAAAACATCTGAAATATAAAATCCCAAAAATAAATACATACAATATTAATCAAAATAGAATAAGCTAATTAATAAAATTAAAATTGAGCTGGATTTTGCTAATCTAAATATTAACCTAGCCCACCAAACACTAACTTGGAAAAAAATTGTTAATAATAAAGTTTCAGAATAAAACTACGATTCTGTGATTACCTTCCTGAGGGTTTTGGGCCTCTCTCTCAACCACAAAACTTGATTCATCCAACCCATGTTTTTATCTTCAAAACATTTCCCGAAGTGATCAACATGCAATCCATAGTGAAGGGAAGCTATTTGGCTACGAAGATTTTGATGATTAAAAGCTAAAATTTCTTCTGAAGTGATAGCATGCAAGCAAAGGTGAGAAAATATCCATTGTTTTTTTGAAAATATCCATTGTTCGTTGATTTAATATTCTCAAATCCGAGAAATGTGAAAAAAAATATCTGTTAATAATTTGTCAGTTAAATCAGAAATGGATGTGAAGTAGACTGTGAATAGAGGATGAGTTATGAACATGTCCTATAGGCGAGTTACTATGCTTTCTCTATTTTTTTACATGAAATTTATTTGGTTTTAGTTACATTTCCAAAAAAAATTCCATAACTTTCGTTCTTTAATATACAAAAATATTTAAATCGTTTAAAGGTTTCAGTTTTACATAATTTTCTATAGTTTGTGATTTCTAGTTAGATGATCAACCAACGAGATAAGTGTAAGGTTATTAAAACAAAACAAAATATGGTCGCCTGCGTGGGCGTGGTCGAGTGGTAAGGCAAGTTTGGAAATGTGTTAAACACCCCTGGTTTGAAATCTACTATCTTATATTACTCGTTCGTGTGTGGCACAAGGGATTAAGACCATCTCCAATGGGGGTTCTATCCATTGGAGTTCTAAAATCATATATGTATACATGCATGCATTATATATATATATGTGTGTAATTGTACGGTCCATTAAATAGTGTAAAACTTTATCCAAAAATTCTAAAACACTCGGTCCTTATTTTCTGGTTTTCAGAATTAGTAAGGTTCTTGGATCCGGATAATCCAGATCATAAAAAGTTAATAATATGTTATGGTTTGTACCCAGCATCATCAATGTGTCATCATCAAGATTTCAACCTTAAAATGCAAGATGCTGCTGACAAAACATATTAACTTTGTATATTTAATAAAAAATGTATTCTCAAAGACCTATTCAAAACAATGTATCGGTGTTATCGTGTATATAAAAATTAACATTCTATAATATTCTGTCAACAAAACTTGAAAGAGTTTTAAAAAAATTCCAAAGCAACATGTGCAGAAAAATAAGAAACCTATCTATTTCATATTATTTAGATTCAGTGTTTAGTCATTTTCTTCAATCCATTCATAGTGGTACTTTGTAATAATATTTCCATCCGATTAAGCAACTCCTCGTCTACGGTTTACATATATATATATATATTGTATATGTATGACCATAAAGTAATTAGGGAGAAAAGAAATGAACAAGAAAAATGAATGAATGAATAGCAATTATGTATATATAATTTTAGTAATGGCATGTATGTAATTGACTTTTTTGAGAATTAGTATGAGCATAACATATAGAACTGATTTTCAAATAATATTATTGAGATGTTCTGTTATACTTGGTGTCAATATATTTAAAGAAAATTATGTATAACACTATACTATTAATTAGGAATTGGCAATAAGTCTTAGTTGACATCTTATATACAAAAATGGCAATGGATTTTAGGATAATCGTAATAATTACATCAACTGTAGTTCAGCTACTTAGCTGAATTACACAATTAGATTTTGTTCTTGTTTAGAAATGTGATACTCGTTATCAATGCTGTAGAGTAGGGATTTTTTTATTGTTATTATAAGACTAAACTAATAGAAAATCTAGGGAAATATTATTTTGATTTATTATTAAATTCATCACTAGGGTGAACCTCTACGTTCACCAACCAATAAGATTGTGTT